TAAATTATATATTCGCATTCCCCAACCTTCCAGACCCTGAACAGTTTGAACATCTTTCTGATTTTGGTGCTGATAAAGGCTGATCTCCACCATTGACTGTCGAAACTGGTTCAATAAGAACAAGTGCTCCAGTGCTTGAGCAGCGAGCGCAAGCAAGATACCCTGCATTTATTAGATGACAGTGAATGTAAGTACAGCAATCTCATTTTCCAGCTCTCCAGGAACAAGATTAAACAACTATATTAGTTTTGCTTTCCATTCAAATGTTAAAGTAAATTATTCTCTTGCACAAAAGCAGTTACTCTTATCATAATTTTGATTAAACCTAACACAGATACTTGAGCAGAATTTTGAAAGAGCAAGTTGTGCACTTGAAAGAAATGCTTACGAAAATATTCTGAGGTTTGGGCAGGAAAGTACAGCTAGATAATTACAATTGCTAATTTTACTTGAAAAGTTACTAGGATGTTCCTACATAAAAGATACTCTGAGTAAAGTCCGCAGAATATGCCAGGATGTGTAAAAAAATAAAAGGAAATTAGTTTTATTCTGTTTATCTCAAACTCCTTCAGAAATCTGAAAGCCCTGTTAGCAAAGATGGATACATAGTTAACACTATACATATAGAAGCCAAGAAAGACGCGATAGCTCATGTTGTAGCCAATGGTACAAAATCACATGCGTATCGAAATACATATATCTTTGACAGCTAGATGAAAGAAAAAGAAACTGTGAAAATTCCAGATATACCAGTTCCGAGACAGTATTTGCATCTTTTATGCTCTTGCTGTTTCACATTGTTGATTTCAACCACCATCAACGCCGAGATCACCCCTACTGCACCTCCAGAGAATGATGCCACTATTGGATCAACCTGACTGTTTTACAACATTGAAATCACTGCTTTAGAATTTTATGATTCATGTTTTGCATCTTATAGTTCAATAAGCAATTTGAATCTTATGGGTAAATCATAATCATGAATCTTACACGAATTTAAAAATGACAGTATATTGCATATGATACGATTTATTTTTTAAGATTCAATTTCATCTAGTGAAAGCTAAATCTAATCAAATATTTAAATAACTTATTTTTCTTTAATTATAAGGTATAATATTTACACATTATACATCAAAAACAATTATTTCTTTAGTTTTTTATAATATTAGTATGAAATTTTTAAAATATTCTAATTTTCGATATTCTTTCTTTAAAAATTATATATGAATATTGTAAAATTTGATTAAATAACTATATTTCAAATATATTATTCAATTCATGATTCTCAATACAAAAAATGGAGTTTTTGACCCGCAATTCAAATCTCCATTTAACAACTATGATTAAAGTTAGTTAGTTACCTGAAGCTGGAAACAGCAACTTTCTAACCTCATTTGTACGGTTCACATTATCATAATAAGCTCTAGATCATTGTTCTAAAAGGACCTATCTGCATATTGTTGCTAGCAAAAAGCATTTTGACACCCAAGATCAGTTCATACTAGCAAAAATGCTGAAATGCTCTTTCCTAACAGAAAAACTTTACCTTTGAAAATGATATATGGCAGTATGAAAAAATCATACCTATAGATTGATTGCATCCTAACTCCCTAAATCCCAACTATTCATGCTGTCTAAGGAACCAAAAATACTGAAAGGAACTGTATCTTTTTTAATAAGATGAAGAAACTTCGTCAAATACCTAGTAGACAGAACAAAATATAATGAAACTGCAAACAATCACAGCCAAAGAAGCAAAATCTTATATATCAACTGCAGAACAGAAACATCAAGTACCTCAATTGCAATGGCAGATGCACACTGCGGATAAAATCTTCATATGATGTGCCTCCTAATCCTAGCTTAAGCTCCAGCTGAGAACCATAGAGAAAATCAAAGAGGGCAAAGCGAATAATATTCTCATCAAAAGAATCAAAATTAATTTAATTAAATATCTCCTTTTGTCATTGAGAGATAAAAAAATACCACTCCACAAAGATAATAGGTAAAAAATAATCTACACGATGAACATTGTCTGAGTAGAGAAATGACTTACAGTTGGAGCAAGAAGACCACCGAAGATGATAATCCCAGCAATAAGAGAAAAGCAAGTGGCATAATACACCTTAAGATTTTCTGAACTCTGAAAGCAGCAATAATAAATTGACTACTTGTGATGTGATCAACATCTTCAAAGAGGAAAAAAGAGAAAAATCTAATGCTACTATTGTGTAAATTACATGGAAAAAATACACTACCCACCCTATAATTTCGGATCTCCTACACTTACTCCGTTAAATTGAAATATGTACATATATAATTTCTCCCTTTTGTAAACTAAAGACTAGAACTTCAACAAATATTATGAAATTTCTTACCTACCCTTGTATGCATACAATATAAAGAGGATCTCAATGAAAAAAAAGTTGGGATATGTAATTTTTATCAAATCAATCAGGTTTTTCATATAAAGATAGTTAATAGATTTCCACAAACAGAGGAGTAAAAGTGAATTTTCTTATATTTTACCATGTATGGACCAAGTAATGTAACTTTCAAATCGAAATAAAAAAAAAATTCAGCTGTCAAATTCTTTTTTAGAAATGCTCATGTATGCAATAATCAATTCAAATAAGCAACGCAATTAGAAGTACTTTTGAATCATAAAAATAATAAAAGACCATAAGTAGAATGAAAATATGAAAATAGGAGAATTAAAGATGAACCTTTTAAAAAATAATTACAAAAAGGTAATTCTGAGGTTTTAAAATGATAGGATAAGTTGGCATATCGACTACTGATGACCTATCTGAGGGCTTAACTGTAAAGTTTTCTGCAACATTTGGAAGAAAGTGTGTACTTTAAAACAGAGGAAGATAAGTGAAGGATGAACTAAACTAAAGGGTATTTTAAGTAATTTAAAATAGTATCAAAGAGCTTGTTGCAAGTAAAATTTTTCATGCTGAATTTAAGCTAGCAACTATTAGTCACCACACAATAGTAGTGAAAGGAATGATACCAAAGGAGGCAAGAACGGGATGAAAGATGGAAAATTAGGGAGTTCATTTTCCTGCTGTTCACTTAAAATACCAAGCTCAGCATTTTTGATCCGCTGTTGTATCCTCAGCCTGCGAACCTAGGTTGTTTTGCAGCACGAAATATAAAAAGCATTGTCAATACACTTGCAAGATTTTAGAATACTTTTATGAATAAGATTACCAAATCAGGACCTATTTCCTAAATCATATAGAAATCAGGGAGATGATGATACCTACACTCTTGCACTGAATGAGAAATAAGACAGGTAATATCTAAGTAGTATAAATTTATTACAATATAGAACCTAAGCACTCATGCTAGAAGTGGGATGAGGATTGGATTGCATGTGAAGGCGCCAACGCACAGACAATCAAACCTAAAGCAAAAGAGCATAATTTTATTTGCAAGTATTAATGTATTTAATAACTAGGTTACGTTCTTTATAGTGTTTGTTAAGCAATAACTATGAGAGAATGTTCGCCTGAATTATAACTTTTGAGTATTGCTTAAAAGAGCTTACCTCTTCCATATGGAGGAAAATTTTATTGCGGCGACTTCGAATATTATCTTGAATTTCTCGCAATTCCATTTTGGCAAAGTCCTGTACTGTCTCAGGCCCTTCGATGATACAAAATCTGCTTTGCACCAGAAAACCTTGAGTTATGAAGCAACGGATGAATATTTTTTATCACCAAGTGATACAACTACCAGTTATCTAGAAGACTTTCCCTCACAGACTACGGCAGTACTTGTACATCGTGACATATTTCTGAAGTATTAACTGATTTTCAAAATCAAATATTTATGAGAAGCATGTTCCTAGCATATTCTCTTGCCACCATGAAATTCCTTAATTATTAACCGATACAAAAGAGAAAAGTTCCCCCGCTGGATGTTATAAAATTCAACATGTTGGCAGTTTAAACCGAAAGCTTCTTACATCCGAGTTGAGAACATCTCAGAGCTGATCAAACATATAAACCTTAAGCATGCTAATATAAAAGTATCCTACTATTTTCCCCAAGGCGTGTCTTCATTGTTTTTAATCCACCGTGCAAATTGCTTCCAGTTGCCATAGATTTCTTTGAAGACATAGCTTATCCAAGCTTATGCTCTTAATTAATAATAAATTTGAAAATAGAAACTGGAACTGTTCATAACCATATTTGTACCAAGAGAGGGGAAAAAGTACCCGGCAGCCTTTTTATCCGTAGAATCAGAATCAATCGATGAAGCGAAAGAAGAAGATTCGGGCTCCACCGCCATAGATCGCCATTTAAGGTTGACTTCGGGCTTAACATGAACAAATCTGGAGGTTCGGCAATAAGAATTGGACTTATACAACGGCTTCAACGGGTAGGAAACCGCCAGAACACGATCCAAACAAAACATTCTCCAAATTATCTCACTTCGAAGTTAATTCTTCTCTAAAGCTCCAAAATCTTTTCTTTGCTACTGCGAACACGCAGAGACTTCATGACCGTGGAGAGGAGAGTGAAGACGAGAGAGAGTTGGATGTTGGAAATGGCAACCGGAAGTGGAGGAGGAGTTCTCAAGCGGTAGACAATAGACCGTGACTTGGCACGTGGAGGGCGCCTATTGGTTGAATCTTATATGCGTTGGTTTCTAAAGAGGGAGGAATCACGAATTCTGAGTGGAGCTCAGGTGGTGCCGTTCCAACAGAAAATTATTATTATAAATTGCCGGCTTTCTATATTAATTTACTACGTTGTATGTTGTTAATAAAAAATTATTATTATATCAACATATATACGTTAATTATCAAAAATAAATAAATAAAATAATTTTTTAATAAAAATGCAGAATATTTTATTTAAAAAACAAATTATAAAATATTTTGGGGTTAGGGAAGGGAAGATGGCGAACAAGCTAACAAGGATAATGAGTATTTTTGTAAAAATATTTTTTTTCAACATTCCATTCACACAAATTTGTAGTTTATCCAAAACAGGGAGAGGTATTATAAGAGCCAAATACCTTAAATGACTTGAAAATGAAATATCTGAAAACAACCTCTCTATTTCCGATAATTACAATGTATATATTTTTTTTTATAAAAAAAATGGAAATATATAAGCTATACAACTGAAAATATTTTCTCAAAATAAAAATATTAATAATATGCTATTTATACTTGTATGTATTAATATAAATTTTATCTATTAATTGCTATTTATTATGTTATTCATAAACATGACATAGAAGCATCATTTATTATAACTAAAAAAGTTTTTTAATTGATAATATTTGTTAGTGTTATATTTATATTTATATGTATTACTATAAGTGTATATATTTATCATATTTTAATATAATAAATATTATTGATTAATCACGTCTAATACTTTTCATATTAACATGTATTAATCTGCTTTTTTTTTTTTACTTTAAAATAAATTTATTGAGAGTATTACAGTAAATTACCTTTAGATTAAGGGCCACCCTGCTAATTTTAATATTAAAACATTAAATTTAACACTAAACTCAATAATTAAGGGTGAAGTATACAATGAGTTGTAACCTAAGAAAATTTCTATTTAGTTAAAAAATATGATATTTTTTTATATTATAAAAAATTCGAGGGCTTCTATAATTTGCTTATTTTTTTAATCATTCTAATTAAATTGTAAATTATTTTTTATTTTTAGAATAATCTTATTATATTAATTTTTATTATTTAATAATTATATTACTATTATGTAATACATATCAAATTATTATTATAAAAAACTTGATTAAATCGATTGATGTACTTTTACTATAAAATTTAATACGTTATATTTTGAAAATAATAATTAAATTATAATATCTTAAAAATTTTCAGTTTATCTTTTAGTTTTTAAATTGAAAAATTAACCTTATTTTTTTTAAACGGGACATGGCCTTCTACCAAACAGCCCAGCCATCATTTCGAATCCGTAACTAGGATAAGAAAATAAACGTGACCAATCAAAAAGTTGCATGCAAGGTCAAAGAAACCCTAACTTAGCTTCTATATATTGGTAGCAAGAGCCGTCCTGGTGTCCATCTGGATTGTGTCTCTACTCTTCTTTTAGGGTTTAGGTTTATAGTTGCTCGGGATTCTTTACTGAAGAGAATGGTACCTTTTAGGCCTATGGTATTGCTGTTTTTATTTGCGCTTATCGAATAATTATTTTCTAGCTAAAGATCGCAGTGATGACTCATAAATTTCAAGCTCAACAGACCGGAATGCAGGGTTTTCTTCTTAGATAACTTTGCGTGTCGATCACCCCGCTGAACTGAGCGATCTCTCTCTTCTTCTCGCTGTGGAATAAGTTTTTTTTTTTATTTTTTTGTTTTTTTGGTGAGAAATCTGAAGAAGATCTTGAATCTAGCGGTTGTTGGTTCAAGTCTTTTTGAGGAACGCGGGAGGCAACAAGAGAAATTTGTTTAAACCCTAAGATCTATTTGTTTTTTTTTTTTTTGTTAGTTTTCTGCTGATGCATGTCAAGATTTTATCACGGGATTAAGCCTGTTTTAAGTTTGTTTTTGTGGGAATTTAGAGGTTACGATGAGGATTTTCAGCTCCCTCTTCCGAAGTTTAGTTGAAGAAATTGGCTGGCAGAATCGAACCTAAAACTTAATCGCCACCACTGAGTAATCTCTATTCCCACTCCAATTCAAAAATTAGCATTTAATTAAACTAATCTGTTTTCTTTTTTGTGTAGTAGTTCCAACGATCTCGTTTTTCAAATGAGCTACTTTTGGTTTCAATTAAATTTGCACTTCGTAGGTGAGGATGAAGCACTAATTATCACAATCCAACACTTGATCTGAGATATTCGTGTGTTTAGTGATGCGAAGATGATTGCTTCTGAATCTGCGACTTCCTCCAAAATGTTTATGCTTTTGTTTTCTCATTATCAAATTCAATTTCTATGGTATTGATTGTTCTAATTTTATTATACCTGAGGCGATGTATCCTAAATCGATTCAAGTATTATTAATTGGGTAATCAAAATTGATGATCCATGAATAATGACGAGTTTATCAATTTGCTTGATTCGCAATTTTAACCAAGAATTTAGTTAGGGTTCTTCCTTACGTGAAAGAAATCTGTAAGTTGAATGAAATTGTTTAACATTATGATCATCAAATGATGAAATTTGGAATCTTAGGACACCTTCCTACATAGCTTCTGAGGCTATGGATGAGAATAATATTTCCATTACAATTTCTGATGATGATAAGGGATAATATTATCCACATTGGCTAGTAAGATTATAATTGGAAATAAATGGTTTTCTGCGTCCTTCAATTTGATGATAGGCATAAGGGGTTCGTTCAGCTTTCACTTTGTTGCCACTTTTTTATTTTCTGGACAGGCGAAGTTAACTTGCATACACGAGTAGGAGTCAGGAATGGCAATCCGGGCTATGACCGGGAAGCTCATTTGTTTTGTTGCCTGACATGTACCGGGTCGGTTAATTAACTCTGCTCGGGACTTACTTGAGCCAGCTCTGTGATTTCCCGTTCGAGGTTTGAATCTTGTCCATATTTTGCTGGGCCTGTGGACTAGGGCTGATCACTGTAGTTGTTTTCCCTGCTGGGCCCGAGTCTACCACTCTACTCTTCTGATTCGAGCCCAGCATAACTGGTGATGGTACATTCCCATTTCGAGTTTTTGTAAAAAAAATTTAATTAGAAAATAACAGTAGTCAAAATACTAAAAAGTAATTAAAAAATAATAAAAACGAGTGTCACGCTAATTGATTCTTTTACTCGGCCTTTTCAGACTTGCAGGGCATAGAGGTGTTTATATAGTCTCGTAACATAACAGGGCGAGCTGGTTCAAACCGTCAGGCTTTGCCTGGTTCGAACCGGATTACAAGAGATTTCCGGCTGGCCAACCTCCAATGGAAAAAATGAACGGGTCGGACCTGTTCATGAAAACTAATTGTTATGTTGTAAATCCAGAAGACTGGTCCCTGTATCTTTGGTGATAATTGTTTTCTGGTTCGCAGTATTAGCGTGTAAAAAAGACGAGAGGGGGGGATATTCTCTCGGAAAGCAAACACGCTTTGTAAAATTCTCTAAGACGAAAAAGATGTACTTTCTTCAGGTATGGTATTATTTTATCACAAAATTAATTGAAATATACAAACACGTAAGTTAGTATAAATGAATTGAGTCATTCACATCTCAGATCCATTGAAACACCTAAAATCCGTTATTACATAATCATTAAGACTCTCTCAATAATGATACCCACGATTGTTATTTTTTTGTAAGTTTTCAAATTAAGTGAAAGTTTCAATTAAATTTATTGCTTAGTTTTTGTTTTCTACTTAATTAAGTTACACTCAAGTATTAATGATAACATACTTTTAAAGATGAATAGACTCGAATTACTTTTTAATTAATATGTACTTAACTGAATATTATAATTTTATTTATATATATAAGTTTTCTAAGAAAAAAATATAAAAATAATTAATTAATTATAAATAATATAACTTAATTTATTTCATTTCTATTACTCTGATTTATTATTATTATTTTTTTTTAAATCACGATTTCTTTTTGTTTTTTTTTTTAGTACTATATATTTTTTTTTATATTATCTTAATTTATTTCATCTTTAATATAATGATTCTTTTGTTAAAAAGGAGTGCAATTAATTAGCCATCATCTAATCAATTAATGATTAGCGCAGACTTAATTAAATACATCTAACTAATTTACATATGATTAAATTACAACATGTTATTTCTTTAAAATTCCGAATTATATAATATTAAAATTATAAAATAACATAAATTTTTAATTTAAAAAAAATGAGTTAATTAACAAACAGATATAAAATAGTGAGATACACATGCATGTTAATTAAACGGATCAGGTTTAAACCATTAATACTCTTTCTTTTAAAACGTTTTCTTATATTAATAGACCTAATTAAACCTGCCGAATGGGGAAGGAATCACAACCCTACTAGCTATAACGCTATTAATCAATTAATTATCTATTTATTTATTTATTTTTTAATCGGATATTTTATCATGCGGGAAGTCAAAAGATTATCCACCAGTTGCGCAACTTAAAAAGGGAGGGGGATTGCAAGTAGCGACGAACAAGTAATAATCCCACTGATGATGGCATGGAAAAGGAGTGGTTCGGTGCGATTACCTGTGCTTGCTTACGTGTCTTTTTCCCCTTGGCATGGCCGGCCGGCTAAAGCCACTACCATTATCATAGGTTGCTGGACCAGTCTCCCTTCTTCTGGTTACCCCCAAAATCAGTTCATTGACACCTGCAACCCAAAATATCAACGACCATATCATCATTACCATTTCTTTTCTTTTACAAAAACTGAAAAACAATAAATAGAATATATATATATATATATATATATATATAAGCATTCATAGCTATCTTTGCCATCCAAAATTCTATTTTTTGTTTTCAATTACTATTTTACTTTTATTGTTTTTAACGTTTATTATGTAAATAATTCTATTTTGTTAAAGATATATTTTATTTAATCTAAGATTAAGTTATTGGTAGACGTTTACTCTATGAAAGTTTAATTCTTTTTTTAAAAAATTGAAAAAAAAAAGTTATTAAAAAATATAATAATACAAGAAGTGTTAAATTATAATAACATATAAAAAATACAGAACCAATAACATCTAAAATAAAATATAACTCAACTAATAACAAGAGAGATATTAATTAGATCGTCAAATATTCAGAAAGCTCCAATGCATACTTCATTTATTCTTAATCTATGTGTGACGAAACCTAGTCCTCACAAGTATTTTTATATTAAAGTTGAATAAAACTTAGAATTAAGAATAATTTAGATTGAGATTGCATAGAACTCACTAGTATTGGACCTCTGTTAAGACTCAATGTCAATATGAATAAATAGTGACTTTTAAATTTTATTTCTAAAACGATGCTTCAAAGAACAATTTGTAAAACTTAGTTATGATCCTTATTGAGTATAAGATTTAACTACGATCTCTTATTTAAATCATATCATTCTTTGCTTTATGATATTTTAAAATTTATAAATATTTTTCAATGTATCAAATGTCTCGTATTAATAAAGATCGTTCAGAAACAGTTTGTTAGTCGATCATCGAAGATAGACGACTTATTTGTCGGCGATATAAGGTAGATCATTTATTTGTCTTCACTTTAAAGACAAGAAATTTATTTATCTTTTTTCACAAAGGAGTATACTTTTCACTTGACTACCGAAAGGATGACTACATCCATCCATTCTTTGAGTGGACTTTTATTCCATATGATCCACCCAGAGATTGACTTTTAATATATTCATCTTGGAGTGAAGTTACCATTTATCAAATGAGGAGCAGACTCCATCAATCTAGTCTTTATGGGTTAGAGTTTCATACAATCTATCTATTAGGGGTTACTTGAATTTATCCTCCAAGAGGTAGATTTTACACTCCACTCACTAAAGAGTATGTGGACCTTATAACTTCCTTTATTACTAAGAATTTTATCCATGGATGATATTTTACATATAAATTTATTTAATCAGACCGTATCAAATCTGATATGATACAATTTATTATTAACATGCAGGTTCGGGGTATATCAGTCTTGGATTGGCAGGAAAAGATGAGCGAATCAGGACGGGTTCGGGTTTGGTCTTCCTAAATTCGTCTGAATTCGATATATTATGTACATTTTTTTAGTTTTTTTTATATTATTAGAAGTAATTTTAGATTTACTTTATTAAATATAATGTAATATATATAGTTATATATTGACAAATGTAATTAGCATTCTTATATATATTAATAAATATATTTTAAATTTTTTTATTAAAGTAAATAAAATTATATTTATATTAGTATAATAAAATGATAGTCAATAACTTGTAAACCCGCTATGGTGTGGAAAAAAATTAAAATAATATCTTTTTACAAGAGTGGATGAAATTCAAATTTGGTAAAATATACCTTATTATTTGTTATACTTAGATTCGAAATTTGGTGCGGGATAAATTTTTTGATTTATAATATATATATTATTTTAATTTTATTTTATTAATTTTTTAAAGAAAAAATAAGTTAGAGACGAAATTGAAAGCACTTTTGGGAAAGCTGTGTGAAATTTTGTGTTCGGTTGGTGTTTTTAAAAGAAAAATTAGAAACAGATAGTTAAAATATAAAAAAAAAAATTCAACTATATAGAACCGTCCAGTCAGTAGTCACGACGAAATAGAGCACGTCGTGTGGCAAAACACACTGAGATCGGTGTCACGGGGGAGGCTACACAGGCGATCCATGTGCCTGCAATTTGACAGCCCAGATTTAATTTCGCGCGTGTGAACGGCTTAAATGCATTCTCTCTTTAGGTGCGATCGGACAGACGAGATCAATCGCGATGAATGGTCCAGATTTACCTACGCAATCAGGCTAAATAGGCAATGATCGGACAACTTTTCTCGCTCTACGTCGACGTGAACAGACGTCCCAGATTGATGTAGAATAGGTATTTAAACATCGCATCGTAAGAGAACCCTAACCCTAGCCATACCTACCCTTGCCGGAGAAGAAGAACTAGCCGTCAGAGAAAGAGACCGACCCTCGGTCGTCGCCGCACTGGAGCCATCGCCGACTGTCCAAAAAGGTAAAATTCTCTCCTTTCCCCTTGGAGTTTAATTCTGAATCTCTCTGTGACCGTATCGGAGCAAAAGGTACTTCAGGTGAGCCAGAAACTGCGGGTAAAGCCCGACGGAGCCGTCACGACCAAAACTTTAAAACCCCTCAGATAAGCCCCTTTTCGTTTCCCATTTCACACAATTTTCCAACCATTGTGTTCACTGTCCTTTTCTATGCAGGATAGCTGAAGAAGAAAACCCAGCCGTGAAGGAGAACTAAGGGAACCGCTGCACCCAAAGACCCCTCCCCCCCCCCCCCCCCCAGCCAATAGGTTCGGTTTTTTGTGATTTTCTGGTCAATCGAGATCACCTAACGTATTTTTTCGTAGGAATATATGTAAAATTAGCCAAAACCGGCCAAAACTGGGCAAAACTCCCCAGGCCGAGGTGAACTACGACCGTGGGCAGCGGAGCCAACGCTGAAGCACGACGGTACCACGGTGCTGGAATCCTAAAATTTGCTGAAAAGGATTTTCAACACCGATTTTGAATTTTTGAGATATTTTTAGATACGTGATGAGTAATTTGAATTCCTATAGGAAAAATTCAAGAAATCCAAGACCCACTAGGAGGCATAGTAGATAGCACAACATTTTAAAATACCAATTCGAGTAAGGATTTCTCACCTTATTCTCGGTTACGGTAAATTAAGGATTAATAATTGATAATTGTGTATTTTATGAAAAATTAAAAAAATCCTAAAAATATTATAGGTCATTAGTGGAGTCAAAACCGGTTAGTTCACATTTGTCCTGATTCCCTATTTATTTTTCTATACTGCCTAACTTGCTTACTATTAGATTGTGCATGTTTAAATTGATAGTTTCTATGGTCTTCTCGATTATCTGGTTTATCCAGTTCCTTCTGTATTTTTATTTAGTTATCTAGTTACTCAGTTATTAGTTTTGATAAATTATATCACTTGCTTAAATGTTGTTTAAATTGATCAGTGAATATAAAATGAAACGCTGGTATGTTTTAGTAGTTGTTTGAATCTAGATAAATAAAAGCTTACTGGATATCTTTAAAAATAGTGGACGGACCCGGTACATAAGAAATCTTACTGTGGACATTACTTCAGTCGGACGGGGTTAGGAAGTCCTATACTGAAAAGATTTTAGAAGATATAGTTCACCTTTATATCGGACGAGATATCGAGGCGATGGTGTTTTAGGTGCCCATTACAGGACGAGATATGAGAACAACTGGATTAATGATCAAATCTTGATACTAGGTCTACGAGTAGAGGAATATCTCTATGAACCCCTAGGGGTTACAATAAGTAGGTTAAAATGGAAGGATTGCTAATCCTATGCATGAAATTAAAATATTATTTAGATAATTATATCATAGGTTGATTTTGAAAAAAAAAATTATAACGGTAAGTACCGAATAAAAAGTTTTAAAGTTAAATGTATTTATTTAAAGTAAAGACTCAATTA